AGCCAAAAATTAAATTTAATCATAGAATTAAAAACAATCTGAGTATTGTGATAATAAAACAATAAACAGATGAAAGTTAAATTAGCCAAAAAATTAAATTTATTTTTAATCATTGAATTAATATTGTGATAATAAGCAACAATAAACAGATGAAAGTTAAACTAGCCAAAAATTAAATTTACTTTAATCATTGAATTAAAAACAATCTGAGTATTGTGATAATAAGCAACAATAAACAGATGAAAGTTAAACTAGCCAAAAATTAAATTTACTTTAATCATAGAATTAAAAACAATCTGAGTATTGTGATAATAAGCAACAATAAACAGATGAAAGTTAAACTAGAATTAAAAAAATTAAATTTACTTTAATCATTGAATTAAAACAATCTGAGTATTTGATAATAAGCAACAATAAACAGATGAAAGTTAAACTAACCAAAATTAAATTTACTTTAATCATAGAATTAAAAAAATCTGAGTATTGTGATAATAAGCAACAATAAACAGATGAAAGTTAAACTAACCAAAAATTAAATTTACTTTAATCATTGAATTAAAAAACAATCTGAGTATTGTGATAATAAAGCAACAATAAACAGATGAAAGTTAAACTAGCCAAAATTAAATTTACTTTAATCATTGAATTAAAAACAATCTGAGTATTGTGATAATAAGCAACAATAAACAGATGAAAGTTAAACTAGCCAAAATTAAATTTACTTTAATCATAGAATTAAAAACAATCTGAGTATTGTGATAATAAGCAACAATAAACAGATGAAAGTTAAACAAAAATTAAAAAATTAAATTTACTTTAATCATTGAATTAACCAAAAAAAACAATCTGAGTATTGTGATAATAAGCAACAATAAACAGATGAAAGTTAAACTAGCCAAAAATTAAATTTACTTTAATCATTGAATTAAAAACAATCTGAGTATTTGATAATAAGCCAACAATAAACAGATGAAAGTTAAACTAAAAAAAATTAAATTTACTTTAATCATTGAATTAAAACAATCTGAGTATTGTGATAATAAGCAACAATAAACAGATGAAAGTTAAACTAGCCAAAAATTAAATTTACTTTAATCATTGAATTAAAAACAATCTGAGTATTGTGATAATAAGCAACAATAAACAGATGAAAGTTAAACTACTAAAAATTAAATTTACTTTAATCATTAGAATTAAAAACAATCTGAGTATTGTTAATAAGCAACAATAAACAGATTAGCCAAAAATTAAATTTACTTTAATCATTGAATTAAAAACAATCTGAGTATTGTCATAGAATAAACAGATGAAAGTTAAACTAGCAAAAAAAAACTTTAATAAAAACAAAAGCAATTGTGATAATAAGCAACAATTAAAACAACAGTATTGTGATAATAAGCAACAATAAACAAAAATTAAAACTAATCATTGAATTAAAAACAAAATAATAAGCAACAATAAACAGATGAAAGTTAAACTAGCCAAAAATTAAATTTACTTTAATCATTGAATTAAAAACAATCTGAGTATTGTGATAATAAGCAACAATAAACAGATGAAATAGCCAAAAAAATTAAATTTACTTTTAATCATTGAATTAAAAACAATCTGAGTATTGTGATAATAAGCAACAATAAACAGATGAAAGTTAAACTAGCCAAAATTAAATTTACTTTAATCATTGAATTAAAAACAATCTGAGTATTGATAATAAGCAACAATAAACAGATGAAAGTTAAACTAGCCAAAATTAAATTTACTTTTTAATCATTGAATTAAAAAAACAATCTGAGTATTGTGATAATAAGCAACAATAAACAGATGAAATTAAACTAGCCAAAATTAAATTTACTTTTAATCATAGAATTAAAACAATCTGAGTATTGTGATAATAAGCAACAATAAACAGATGAAAGTTAAACTAGCCAAAAATTAAATTTACTTTAATCATTGAATTAAAACAATCTGAGTATTGTGATAATAAGCAACAATAAACAGATGAAAGTTAAACTAGCCAAAAATTAAATTTACTTTAATCATAGAATTAAAACAATCTGAGTATTGTGATAATAAGCAACAATAAACAGATGAAAGTTAAACTAGCCAAAAATTAAATTTACTTTAAAATTAAAAACAATAGTATTGTGATAATTAAACAGATGAAAGTTAAACTAGCCAAAATTAAATTTACTTTAATCATTGAATTCTGACTAGCCAAAATTAAATTATTGTGATAATAAGCAACAATAAACAGATGAAAGTTAAACTAGCCAAAAATTAAATTTACTTTAATCATTGAATTAAAAACAAAAATAATAAGCAACAATAAACAGATGAAAGTTAAACTAGCCAAAAATTAAATTTACTTTAATCATTGAATTAAAAACAATCTGAGTATTGTGATAATAAGCAACAATAAACAGATGAAAGTTAAACTAGCCAAAAATTAAATTTACTTTAATCATAGAATTAAAAACAATCTAAGCATTATGATAATAAGCAACAATAAACAGATGAAAGTTAAACTAGCCAAAAATTAAATTTACTTTCATCATTGAATTAAAAACAATCTGAGTATTGTGATAATAAGCAACAATAAACAGATGAAAGTTAAACTAGCCAAAAATTAAATTTACTTTAATCATAGAATTAAAAACAATCTGAGTATTGTGATAATAAGCAACAATAAACAGATGAAAGTTAAACTAGCCAAAAATTAAATTTACTTTAATCATAGAATTAAAAACAATCTGAGTATTGTGATAATAAGCAACAATAAACAGATGAAAGTTAAACTAGCCAAAATTAAATTTACTTTAATCATAGAATTAAAACAATCTGAGTATTGTGATAATAATCAACAATAAACAGATGAAAGTTAAACAGCCAAAAAATTAAAAATCAGAATTAAAAACAATGAAATTGTGATAATAAGCAACAATAAACAGATAGCCAAAAATTAAATTTACTTTAATCATAGAATTAAAAACAATCTGAGTATTGTGATAATAAGCAACAATAAACAGATGAAAGTTAAACTAGCCAAAATTAAAACTTTAATCAGATAAAAACAAATTGTGATAATAAGCAACAATAAACAGATGAAAGTTAAACTACAAAAAATTAAAAACATAGAATTAAAAACAATCTAGCATTATTGATAATAGCCAAAAAATTAAATTTACAAAATTTTAATTAATCATAGAATTAAAAAACAATCTGAGTATTGTGATAATAAGCAACAATAAACAGATGAAAGTTAAACTAGCCAAAAATTAAATTTACTTTAATCATAGAATTAAAAACAATCTGAGTATTGTGATAATAAGCAACAATAAACAGATGAAAGTTAAACTAGCCAAAAATTAAATTTACTTTAATCATAGAATTAAAAACAATCTGAGTATTGTGATAATAAGCAACAATAAACAGATGAAAGTTAAACTAGCCAAAATTAAATTTACTTTAATCATAGAATTAAAAACAATCTGAGTATTGTGATAATAAGCAACAATAAACAGATGAAAGTTAAACTAGCCAAAAATTAAATTTACTTTAATCATAGAATTAAAAACAATCTGAGTATTGTGATAATAAGCAACAATAAACAGATGAAAGTTAAACTAGCCAAAATTAAATTTACTTTAATCATAGAATTAAAACAATCTGAGTATTGTGATAATAAGCAACAATAAACAGATGAAAGTTAAACTAGCCAAAATTAAATTTACTTTAATCATAGAATTAAAAACAATCTGAGTATTGTGATAATAAGCAACAATAAACAGATGAAAGTTAAACTAGCCAAAAATTAAATTTACTTTAATCATAGAATTAAAAACAATCTGAGTAAACAATAATTGATGATAAATAAGCAACAATAAAACAGATGAAAGTTAAACTAGCCAAAAATTAAATTTACTTTAATCATAGAATTAAAAACAATCTGAGTATTGTGATAATAAGCAACAATAAACAGATGAAAGTTAAACTAGCCAAAAAAATTAAATTTACTTTAATCATAGAATTAAAAACAATCTGAGTATTGTGATAATAAGCAACAATAAACAGATGAAAGTTAAACTAGCCAAAAATTAAATTTACTTTAATCATAGAATTAAAAACAATCTGAGTATTGTGATAATAAGCAACAATAAACAGATGAAAGTTAAACTAGCCAAAATTAAATTTACTTTAATCATAGAATTAAAACAATCTGAGTATTGTGATAATAAGCAACAATAAACAGATGAAAGTTAAAAGCCAAAATTAAATTTACTTTAATCATAGAATTAAAAACAATCTGAGTAAATAATAAGCAACAATAAACAGATGAAAGTTAAACTAGCCAAAAAATTAAATTTACTTTAATCATAGAATTAAAACAATCTGAGTATTGTGATAATAAGCAACAATAAACAGATGAAAGTTAAAAACAAAATTAAATTTACTTTTTAATCAAGAATTAAAACAATTTACTTTAATCATAGCAACATTAAAAATGAAATCAGCTAAAAAATTAAATTTGTGATAATCAAGAATTAAAATAAACAGATGAAAGTTAAATAAACAGATGAAAAAAATAGCTAAAAATTTACTTTAATCATAGAATTAAAAACAATCTGAGTATTGTGATAATAAGCAACAATAAACAGATGAAAGTTAAACTAGCCAAAAATTAAATTTACTTTAATCATTGAATTAAAAACAATCTGAGTATTGTGATAATAAGCAACAATAAACAGATGAAAGTTAAACTAGCCAAAAATTAAATTTACTTTAATCATTGAATTAAAAACAATCTGAGTATTGTGATAATAAGCAACACTAATAAAGATAAAAGATAAAATTGCAAAAACTTAATTACAATGAAACTGCTTCATCTGAAATATTCAAACAACTATTTCAGACATTTATGTTACTTTATCTAATGTCTTTTTGCTTTCAACCATGTCACTCACTCAAACTTAACAGAGAAATCCAAAAATTAAAACACTTACCTTAGCTATTTGCGTACACCAATTAAGTAAAACTTTTGAGCCAATAGCTTTTTTGTTTTTCCGAATATAGTCAAGCAGACAGCCAAGAGGCATGAGGGGCGTAATCAACATCATCTGTGCAGTCATGCAGACAGCAAGGATACGAATGCAGTAATACTGGTCAACTGAGGTCATCACTCGAGCCTCTTCAAGAAGTTCTTTGTTCTGACTTGGTGATGTTCCTTCTTGTAAAACTTTGATGGCCACAGGAATCTTTATATTTTCACCATCTGGGATCCAGAAACCCTGACAAAGAATTTAAAAACACTGTTAAATATATCTGTCAATGTGACAACCTTGTTCTAAAATGGAATTTTTTAGTGAAAAAGAATATTCTAATGGCTCAAAATCAAAAAATTGTCCTACCACCTCTATCACATCTACAATTGGAAAGAATCTATCTAAATTCAACATAAAATTTGTTATTATTACTTGTTATTAAGACAATAAAAGACTAGCTAAAGTAAACAATAAGCTAAAGCTCAGAGGAGAATTTTACTCAATCGCCTGTACTAATTGCCACAAAAAATACATTGGAGAAACCTTAAGCAATCTAAATAAAAGATTATATGAACACAAAAGTGCCATTTTACAAAACAATACATCAAATGTGTTGGGTGTCCATCGTAACATGACTGATGAGTTTTGACATAAAAAATGCTACTCATATCAAAGGAGAAAACAATTTAGTCCAATGAAAGTGTCTAGAGAGTGCCTTGATTGCAAGTAAATTTGCACTCTGGCTCTTACAACATTTCACTATTCCTGGCAAAACTTCTATTATCACAGTGTCGTTTACCTACTAACAAAAGTGATGGAAAGAAAAAAAAATAAGAAATTTAAATGAAATTGGCTAGATTAAAAAAACATATTTAACTGAAATCTTCTCAGTGTTCTTTATGTATGTTTGTAGCCGCACTAACAAAACTAATTTAGTCTGATGAAGTCCTTAAGTATGAAATACATCACAAGAAAACATTTTCCACTTTGTCATACATTTTTCGCTATATATATTGTTGTGGCCTTGTTAGGGGCCAGAAATAAAGACACAAAGAGAGGAATTGTGTTGAACAAATATATTAACAGAAACAGTAATACAACATGTACAAACGAGAGTGTTATAGCAAGAATGTTTGGTCTGATTGTCAGAGCTGATTGCTGGAAACTAATATATTATTATAAAATCTATTTATAATACAAGAGCAAAAATGTAATTGGTTTTTCAAATATTTTTAATTTTATTAATGCTTATAAATATTCATCAGATTAACTGGAACATCAAGAAAGTTATGGGAGACACAAAGTGATACAATTCAATAAAGGAAATTGAGTAAGTGATATTTTAAAATATTTTTTTTTTTGCTTGAATATTTATGAGCATTCCTAAACTTAAAAATTTTGAAAAGCAAATAACATTTTTGCTCTTGTATATAAATATTTGTCATCCTCACACTTGTCTTGACAAATTGTACATATGGGGACAAGATAGAACTTCATAGAGACTTTTAGGTATTATGGTAGCTGTAGTAAGAATGTGTTGTTTGGCGCAAGGAATATTGTATATTTTGTTTGGATCAGTGATTGTGGCTACCTAAGTCTATGATAAGACACATAGCAGACCAGCCTTTTCCCTCCCCTTTTTGACCTTGTACCACATTTTCTGTTTAACAAAATCAAATATTATTTGCCTTGATAAAGTCCCACAGGAATAAAATGCTTTGGCTAAGTTCTTCTTTATTCATATGTATATAAATAATAATATTTAAAGTGACACACACACACACACACACACACATATATATATATATATATATATATATATATATATATATATATATATATATATATATATATATATATATATATATGAAGAAATATAGTCTTAAGGTGTGCTTTATTTATGGGATAAAGTGATCAATATCAGAGATAGTGTGTGTAAATATAAAAGTGAACATAGAAGTCAACACTTAGAGGCGACAGTCTGTTTCATGATAGATGCAATCATCAGGTCAATGTTCACTTTTATATATATCTATCTATCTATCTATTTTTAATAGAGGTGAGTGGAAGGGGGAAATATGAATGTTGTCGGATAAAAAAAAACAAAAACCTTTCTGTTAAGTTTTAATCTCCCACCTTCTCTCGTCTTTTACCCCTCTCTTTAACTCTAACATTTGTCCCACACTCTCATACTTACACTCTCTCTAAATTCTATTTTTATTTCCAGTTGTTTTTTTCTGTTTTCTTTTTGAATTTGTAGGTCTGATGAATTGGATCATATTTACGATTCCAATGGAATAAATTATGACCATGGAATATTAGTGTTTAAGCCTTTTTATTATATCCTTACTCTGTCCTGGACATTGAGTTCTACCTGGATTCTATCCTCTCAGAATTTTTATTCAAAAAATATACATGTATGTGTATGCACCTATGTATATATGTTTATATATTTTGCATATGTATGTGTATATTTACCACTAATATTATCTATCTATCTAGCTATCTATCTATATATATATATATATATATATATATATATATATATATATATTTTATATGGATGGTACTTAGTAGAAATCACTCGATATCAGTGATAGAGCTAACATAAGTTGTATGGATATGAATTTGTGACCATGAGTTTCACGCTTTTGCAATCATCAGACAAACTGGTTTATTTATTAAAATTGGATCTTTCTCTGACAGCCCATGTGTTAGATTTGAAAAATGTCAAGTACATCCCTACCCGTCCCTTGTTGAAACAAACATTGCTACACATAAAAAGCTACCAAACACCAAAATAGAATTTCAACTGCGTATGTATGTATGTATGCCTGAATGCACAGATATGGATCTGCAACTAGACTCGAAATGCTTATATGGATGCGTTGGTGTGGACTAAAATGTGTAAAATGTCATGTGTATGAATAAACATAGATGTATATTCCCCTACCATCACCAAACATAGTCAAACAAGCATAAATATATATATATATATATATATATATATAGTATAAATATATATATATAAAATATAAAATAATATTTATATATATTGTATATATATATATATATATATATTTATATATATATACAACTTCAAACATTATTTTATTTTTATATATATATATTTGGTTGGATTGATGTGAGTTTGTAACCCTGGGCTTCACGCTTTTGCGATCGTCAGACAAATATGTTAGCTCTATCTCTGATATTGAGTGCTTTCTAATAAATACCGTGCATATAATATATAAATAATTATATATATTTATTTATATTTATATACACACATTTTTCACACACACATATATATATATATATATATATATAGATAGATAGATAGATAGATAGATAGATAGATATAGATATAGATATAGATATATATATATATATATAACTTCAAACATTATTTTTAGTAGATAGCCATATTTGGGTAGATACTTCATTTACTTTAAACACTATTTTATTTTGTTTACCAGCCTGAATATTCGTAAAAACCTAATAAAAAAAATGTGCCCTCCATCAAAATTTGAAACTATGTCCTTCTTTGCAGGAGGAAGCCCCATTAGATCTAACATGCTTTAATTGACCTGGCCAGGAAGAGCATCAGGATTAAGCAAGACTGTTTACTGCTTTTAAGCACATCCTTCTTGTTTAGTTTCCCCAAAAGTTCATAGCTGCTCAGTTTTGTATTTGAAATGTAAAGAAAGCAATTTCGAAAGAGACAAAATAAAATAATGTTCAAAATAAACAGATGATCTGACCTTAATAAACAAAAATCCATTATTTCTTTTTAAATTTCCTGTTCCCCCATCATTACCACACATGTAAAAATAGAACCACCTACCTTGTATACAGTTCCAAATGCACCAGACCCAATAATCCCACCTCTTCTTAATTCTGATTCCTTTATTAAACGTAACTGAGCTAAGTCAGGTTTAATTCCAGTTGGTGTCATTGGCTAAAAATGAAAACAAAAAATCACAGTTATATATCCAAAAATATTCATAAAAATGGGAAACAGTAAGACATGGAAACAAAACAAGTATATTGATTGTTATGTGGTGTTGGAGATGAGAAACAGTAATACTGGCTAAAATTGTGAATTTGGGGTCAAATGTAATTCAAATTTTTGATTGGAGTCCAAGAGAATTATAAGATAAATAATGAATAAAGTGTATAGTATTTCTCATGTTTAATGAGTGTCCAGATAATTTAGTTGGAAAATACAAGAAGTGTCTGGGATTTTCTTATCTCAAATTTTTGTTGAGTGCTAAAAGATAAATGCTACTATTATACCTGAAAAAGGAAAAGGAGATGAAATTTTCATTGACACACATGTTAACAATCTGTCCGTGTGAACTCTTTGTAACATACTGAGAATGCCATGAGTTAGTATGTGTAGAGGAGAAAAGTGGTGTTGATTCTCATTGGTTTAGAATGTGTGAATTAATGATAATTATGATTGTTAAAATTATTTTATTATAATTATTTTTGACACTATAATTAATTTTTATTTATTATTTTATGGGCACAACACCATGAGAATATCATTATTTTTTTTTTTATTTACGTATTTCTTTATGGATACAACAATAGTATTTGTTTTCCCAAGTTTACATACAGTTTTGAATTCAAGAACATCTTTCTTCTAGGCTCATTATTTACCTAGGCTAGCTTAGATGTGGCACAAGGCACAGGTTTGAATCCTATTCACAGCGCCATGTTGAATCAGTTGGAATGTCAATTTTGATAAGTAGCTCTTGCCAATCATCTTTGTATCCTGTACGCAGTGCCTTTTGCATAACTGTTACCTTTATTCTTATTGTACTGTTTTTTTTTCAATAAATCTTTACTTATTTTATCCACCCTGTTTTTCAAGTATATATTCCTATTAGCACGGAATATAACACAATATGAGTTTGTCATACTGATATCATTTCAGTTTCTAATTTCTCAATGAAAATCAAACATGTTATCTACTTGAAGCACAATGACACAAACTAAATCATTCTTTTCCTTGCTTTGCTTTGTGCAAAGTCAAATAAATATGAGTTTGTCATACTGCTATCATTTCAGTTTGTAAAACTATTTGGAAGTTATAACATCTAGAAAATTAAAACCATTGCTTTATAAAAGCTTGAGCAGCCCTAGGCTGCAGCCTATACTAGACTAAATAATAATCTGGACCTGGTTATGGGACTTAAAATTAAGATCAGGACTCTTTGAAGACCAACAAAACATTTAAGTAAGAATAAGTATATAATTCCTCTTAATTTTTCTGTTCATTACTTACCTCCGTTTCATCATAGCGCATCATGGTGGCATTTAATTTGGCAACTTTTTCCATTGCTTTTGTGTTGGTTCTTTTATAACAAAAGTAACTAAGTATCAAAAGAAAACTGACGCCACAAATGACAGCAATGATAATAATGGTAAGTTTCTTTCTGTCTTGCCTAAGATAAAAGAAAAAGAAAAAAGAAAACAACAAGAATTATGATAGAAAAGACATTAAATATCATTTTTCAAGTTCAAAATTTTTATATAACTTTAAAAGTTTTAAAAATAGACAAATTAACATTTAGCACTCTGCATCATATATAAATACGAGGGTCGGCTAGGTGAAAGTGAGAGGGGGAGCATGTCGCTTTACCCCAGAGCCAAGTGATATTTAGCTACCCCACTACCCAATGAGAGTTACATGTGACACAAGGCCGGGTTTAACCTGGGATATCTGATCCCGTAGTCTCGGCCCAAAATATTCCCTCCTTGAACCCACATAAATATGTTCAGGGGCAGTCAACCACCCCGAACGAGACTCTGCCCTTCGTCGGAGCCTCGTCCAGGTTCCTCTCTGCTCGAAGGCAGAGAGTTAGACTGTTAGCCAAGTTAGGCAAGTTAGATTTAAGACCGGCTTAGATGTGGCACAATGCCGAAAGTATGGGGCATCCAGTGAGAACCGAACTCACTATTCAGTCGTAATTGTTTTAGCGAGACAAGCTTGCTAACCACTACACTGCCTCAAGGTGCCACCCCAGAGCCAAGTTGCTTGGTGGAAGAAATCGGCTGTATTTATATCGGCTGCGGTTAGCATCGTAGCCTGTTGGCAATATCTTTTGGTTGATGACTAAAAATTAACCTCCGCATTTTGACTGTACACATGGGTTTCATTTGGACACCACGTGTATTTAAAGTAGTTTCTGGTTATTATTTTTAGTTAGGAGGACTTGAGTATGTTTATGTTTCATTTGTTTTACTTTTTGTGTATCGTTCTCTGAAAAAAACCGCCGAGTCACCGGAAGTTAACAGCATTCATTCTGTTTTCCACGATGACGCTTTCAGATGTTTGTGTAGCCAGCAGTAACTTCTGGCCGGGTGTGATACCCTTACCCATGCTTTCAAATTGATTTCGTGCAAAAACAATTGTGTTTTTCCCATTTTTGGCACTGTCAGAACCACTGCAAGGTAATTTTACATAGTCCTGTGAAGTTTTGTTGAAATTGGTTAAAAAATGTAAGAAATACGATCCCATATATAAACGAACACACACACACACACACACACAATCTGCGTGTTATAATAAGTAAGATTGCTTCCCTTTTTACTGTATATGGAATCCAATCAAAATATAGTGTTTTATATATTAGTTATATATGTTTGAAATTTCAGTAGCCTGACTCTCAATTTCAGTTAAGATTGTTTTAGGTGTTGCCATAGAAGGATATGACTACACACAATGAAGAAATTCAAATTTCATTTGTATTGGCAGGACTAACATTTTGCTTGGTAAAAATAGTCAACTACAGAGTGCTAACTGTTTACAAAGCAGTAATAATAAGCAGACAAGAAAAAGGAAAATATAAAAATATTAACTATCAAGGCGGTAAAATTTATTTGTTAAACATCACATTTTTTTTTTAAATTTTAAGCTTATGACATTACAAATAACCAAAGTCTTTGAAAATAATTCCTGTCAGCTGAAAATCGAGCCACTTTTAGGATTAATCAACCAACACTTTTATACACTGTCCTTGGGGACACTAGTGAATGAATTTTTGATAATTATAAACCTAATGTCACAATAACTATTGTTTTACAAGAGCTCATATTATACTTTCTTTCTATAATTTTTTACTGCATTTGTATTGCTGTTTTCCTCTCGTTATCTGTATTATTGGTTCTCATATTGTATTCATGTCTATGCTTGTCCGGCTTAGGAGACTTTTGTAGACTAGCATTCACTTCCTTAAATTTTCATATTTTCCAGTGATATTCTCTGTCTATTATTTCAACTTCATCTCACAGAGAGCAATGATCTCAATATGTTGTCAGCCATGCCTGATTTTTCTATTTTCCTTAATGTTTTCATTGGTCATTAGTTATATTACTAACTAGCTTAAAAGCCACCCTAGAGGGTTCATGACTGAGCCTTCACAATAAGTAGAGAGGGAGCAGATGTGATAAGCAATAATAAACTACAAAAGAACTCAAAATTGATCGATACAGTATTGCTTACCTTTTCAAAGTTTGATGATAATTCTTTTACCACCACTTAATTTAAAGACATTTTGATGTACATAGGTCCTTACTTTCTGTACAAACAATTATTTATATTTCAAGAGTGACTTTTGATGGATTTCACAATTAATTTTGATTATTCCCAAATTTATTTGTAAGTTATAAAAATTGTTATCATACAAAAATTTGTTGTAAAAAATCACATAAAAAAATCAACAAAAACAATGGCAGTAATGAAAACTTTGGAATCCAAAATTTCAGGATTGAAGTTCCAGATTCAGCCAAGAATGTTTTTAATTTGCTCATGGAGTGAGCCTGATTCCAGAATGGCATGATATGTAGGGCTACGTTGAAAAAGTGTGACACAGTGACACACTGATATTTGCATTTATTATATAGAAGATACAGAAAAAAATGGTTGGTTCATTATACTGCTTCAAAAACTACCCGGCTTCCATTTGCTATGTTCTCTCTTTAGAAAAGCTGGATCAGATCAAAAATGGAGTTTTGCTAACATATTCCAGCCTTGGCGGAGTGCTTATACAGCCTAGTTGGTGATGGATTATTTTCAACTCTACATAAGCTTTCCAACAGATGAAGTATCACAAGCCTATCATTACTCTATTAGTATTTCAACGGAAAATGTTCTGACGTTTCTTAGTTGGGTTGTGGATTTGAATCAACCCACAACAAATTAAAATGCAAGATTTTTAAATATAAAATATTTTTATTTTTGTGTTTTTATAACTAAATTTTTCTCAGTGTGTATGAATGCTAAAGTTTGTTAAGATGAAAAGAAATGATTTCTTTGTGTGTATATATGAGAAAAAAAAAGGCAATAGGGAAAGAGAGAAAGAAAGTGTAAATGTCATGTAACTTGGCGAGAAAGAAGTGCTACATAGCTTGATGAGGAAGAGTGTAAATGTCAAGTATTTTAGTGAGGAAGACATGTGAGTGAGTAAAAGAATCTCTTTTAAGCTGCTGTCATGAACTGTTGTCACATGTATCTCCTTACTAGTTTGTCATCGTCTATTGCTTATATAGTCTTCAAAAGGATCACGAAGCATGTTTTTATTGCCAGCAGAAATGTAATTCATTGATTGAAAATTGTTAAATATTTATTTTCAAAGGATTAATTTATTAACCGAAAGGATTCACGGTGTTTGACTGTCTTGCTGTCTATTTACATTTTTGCTCCACAATTCCACCAGTTCAGATATTTGCCTTTTTGTATTTTTATTTCTTTGGTAATTTCCACACAGGCAGCTAACCAGAAACTTTGGAGAACAGACTCCCAAGATGCTTCTCCAATTACTGGAATCTTTGCCTGTTCAAGTCAACTGTTACCTATACTATTAATCTGCACTTATTTCCTTCTCTCACATTTGTGCATCCCATCCTCTGTCTGAAATGACACTTGGGCCTTAGGCTTTGTAATAGGTGAACATTTAATGAAAAGGAAAAACACTTACTCTGCAGCTTCTGCCAATCTCCTGGCAATTATTGGGTGAGATGCGTCTGCACAAACTGTCATATCATAGCTAATGATATCTTTAACATGGTAATTCATGCCAACAGGGCACATTTCCGAGCAGTTGAACTGAAAATTGAAGCAAAAGAAATATTAACAGCAAAAGTAATAGGCACCAAAGAAAATCAAAATATTTTATACTTTTAAAATACAAGCCAAATATCCATCCTATCCACGGTGAAAAGAAATTCTCTTTTCCTCCATAAAAGACTTCTATAAACAGCATTTTCAGTAAGATATCTATTATATGAATTTGTTTTTGTCCTTATGCTAAGTCCATTTGAATTTTCTACTATAGACATAGCGACATAGATCTGACCATAAGAGCAACATTTGAATAATTTTTTAATGTTTGTATTAATAATAATAATAAAAATTAGGCAGACTTGGACTTTATGTCCACAAAAAAACAGTATGCCATAAGGATGGTTTTTCTATTCACGCAACTATTATTTTAACTACCTTCACTCTTCAGCATAACTTATTGTTTTCAAAAGCCATTATTAGAATTGTAATAAAACCTAATGATTATCAGATCAGAATGAGAAATCAAAGAGCCGAGTTCAAATTCCAGTCAGGTTCATTATATTCACACACACACACAAATACCCCTGGGAAAGTTATAAATCCATGTCTTCTCCCCACCCAGACATAGGTTGAATAGCAGGAGAAATTGAATCTTTAGCCTTTGTTAGTGACCAATCGACTGCAGAATGTAGTGGCAACCTTACTGCTGGAAAAAATCTTCTACCTAGTCAGTTATGTATCAAAAGATACATGATCAAAAGAGACATGTATCGAAAGACTCACGATTGAAAGACACATGTATCAAAAGATACATGATTGAAAAACATGATCGAAAGACACATGTATCAAAAGATACATGATTGAAAGACATATGTATTGAAAGAAACGTGTACTGTAACACACATATATCCAAAGACACATGATTGAAAGACATAATCAAATGACATGATCAAAAGACACATGTATTGAAAGACACATGATCGCCCATGTGTGTACCATGTATGGTGCTTAACTGACTGACTGAATTAAACCTAAACATATGAAAGTGAATTTATACATTTTCTTTATTCTTGAGAATTGGTAACAAAAATAATAAGTACTATTTATTTATTAGATTGTTTATTTCCATGATTTATCTATCATATTGTTTACTGGAATTTTAATAATTTAGGAAATGTTTATTAATTTATGAATAAAAAATGGTTTTCATATTATTTCTTTATAAATTTATCAGACTAGATGGCATTTTTGCCTTAAGAATACAACAAACCAAGTCATTGCAATAAAACTTACCACCGTTTGGTTATGGTTGAATGGAATTTTAAAATTGCGACAAGCATAACATTCTGAAGGCAGTGGGCCGCTGCATCCATTCATGCATTCAGGGTGACATTCTTGACATGTTTTGTTCTCGTCGTCATTGTAGAAATTTTTGGGGCATTCGTTAACACATTTACTGTGGTATTTGTACATTCTGCATTCCTTGCAAGAGAATTCTCCACTTCCAAGGCAAGTAAGGCAATTTTTATGACAAGGACTGCAAAGCTGGAATGAGCAAAAACCAAAAAAAAGAAATGAGTAAATATACAATAGGAAAACATCATGTTATAATCATGCTTCCTCCTTCATCCCTTAGTTACTTCAGTCCTGGCTCTGACAATGAACTACATCCAGCAGGAAGGATTCTGATTGAGAGATTGGTGCTTGTCAGGAGTCTGGAACCACCTCTTAATTTCAGGGTAGTAGCACCTGTTAGGGTCCTAGCTATAGGTACATAGTGAACCCCAAAACAAAAGCAAAATGTATCTGTCTATATTTCTGAGATGAGGTATTATGTACATTATTTACATTATTTGGACTATTGCACTTATCTTTGTCGCCATGTTTATTACAACGTTTCGGCCAATGTACGCTTTGGCTTTCTTCAGTATTTGTCTATATTTCTGAGATGAGGTATTATGTACACTATTTACATTATTAGGACAATTCTCCTCATCTTTGTCGCCATGATTATTACAACATTTCAGCCATTGTATGCCCCAGCCTTCTTCAGCTGGTTGGAATGTTGAACTGAATCCTTTTATTTCTACTCATTGGAGTAGACTCTTCTAGTTCCACGTGCCATATCTAATGGATGTCAGTTATTCATTATCTCATGTTAATTCTCCTCTCCAAGTTCTCCACTGCTTTAACCAGGTATTGAACTCACACTCTTTGGGTTCTCTCACTGGATCTAACTAATGCCTTTATCCACTGTGCCATGTGTCCTTCAGTTCGACATTCCAACTACCTGAAGAAGGTCAGAGCATTCAACAGCCGAAACGTTGTAATAAACATGTGAATATGACAATGACGATGAGCATAACAGTTTGAATAATGTAAATAATATAAATAATCATTGATAACTCTCTCCTTCAATTTGCAGACTCTTGTTATTATATCCTTAATACTTGATATAATGTAAAAATACCACAATGATAAAATCAGTCAATAACTAATAACTATTTATACTGGAACTCAAACATGTAATTACAAGCAATCCATAATAATATTTTAAATTTTTAAATCATATGTATTTTTGGCATATGAAATTTTTAGGAACTGTTTCTAAATCTTTGATCGTCTTTCAATCATTCTGCTATTATCTGTTATCCTCTTCTACTGCACATATGAGGTGCATCACACCATATCGGAACCACTGACCTACTTGTTTCATTCGCTCAAAGCCATTTTTAACCTTTGATCTGAGAAAGCAGTTATATAAAACTGACAATTTAGATATTTCTGAACAGGTTTGGTGACGTCCATATGAAAGATTCTATCTGACAAGTCTATTTAAAACATCACTGAAGTTTTTAGGTTATTGTTTTGTAGCAATTTGCAATGTTGGGCAAAGCTACCCTTTCTTCTTTAAGTATTATGTCCCCGCAGAACATAGGCGATCATGGCTCTCCATAACTTCCTCTTATTAAATTTTGTCTTTTTGTTATTTCTCCTAAATCCTGTTCCACCACCCATTTACTCAAGCCCACTATGTTATACATTGTTTTCTCCTGTCCCTCTTGCCTTCAATATGTCCTGTGAGTGTCAGATTTTCCAAGCTCTCTTTCTTCATTATGTGCCCTAGAAATTTCAACTGTCTCTTCCTGATGTGAAGTATAAGTGACCTTTCTGTTTCCATTTTCTCTAATACTTTGTTGTTGCTCACATAATAGGTCATGATATCCTCAGCATCTTTCTGTAGAGCCATATTTCTTTTGCTAAAAATCTCTTCTTCATCTTTTGAGGAGATTGTCCAGTACTTGCTGCCATACAGGAGGATAGATATCATGTAACAGTTTAGTACTTTTCCTTGTTTCTAAGCATTGCCTATATTCAATTTTCTTATCTCCTGATAAAAGAAGACAATTTTAAATTATCCAAATCAAGAAAAAAAATGTTAGTACTTGTTGATAAATTCCCAAGAAGTGTTTGCTTACAATTTTGTCTTTCATCTGCTCAACCCTATGATAGTCTCTATGGTAGCCATCAGGACATTCTTCTATATCTTTTGAGACACAAACTATTCGGCCATCAGACTGGCGCTGGCCTATTTTGCAGCTGTTGCATCCACCATTTAGTAATTCGTTTAAGGGTCCGGTGCAACTGGAAAGAAAGTAAATAAAATATTGATGATTAGTGCTTGAAAATGGTGACCTTCACCACTCTCTAAGGACCATTATAGGTGTTAGTATATTTATAATGTAATAGCTCCATAACACAATGGAAAGAAGGATTAGAATACCCCAAAGAAATAAATTCCAAAAATACAGAGTTATTTATGAAAACATTTTATATACTATACTGAAGTACAGAAATAAAAGTCCTACAAAGATAAAACATATATGTATCAAGAATGCTTTTACAGAGTTTTTTTTCGGGGGGGGGGCAGATTCCTTATACCAAAACAAGGACAAATGTCCATATAAACATATCTGTAAATTCTTCATTTTTGAGTTAAGTTTAAAGTTTATGGTAAATACTGTGAAATGTACAATCCAAGATGCAATCCAAAAATACTTTTACAGACGTTGGGGGCAGGTTCCTGACTCCAAAACAAGGTAAAATGCCAATATAAGCATATGTCCAAAAGACCATCATTGTGCCGCAACACAGCAACTCATAACAAATATTCAAAATGTCTGCCACTTGCTTCTACATAAGCATGCATTTGTACAAACATTGACTGACGGACCCTTTCAAATACTCTCACATAGTGTCAAATGGTTTCATAGGCCCCTATAACATACTGATGATGCATCTCTGCATGTCTGCTGCATAAAACAATCATTTTAGGTGGCCCATAGATAAAAATTGGACGGATTGAGATCAGGGGAACATACAGGCCATGAAACTGGTATTTCCCTAACTATCCATCTTATAGTAGACATCAACCAGTGCATAGTGAACAATGTGACTAAAATATTCTGGAGCCCCATCATGCATGAACCACATTTGGATTAGCAGGTGTACATCCTCTATCAGGACTGGAAATGTGTTCAAAATAGACAGCTCCTGTAAGACATGCTAAAACATATGAACCTATCATATCCTACCTAGAATTCCAGCCCATGCATTAATCATAAGCTGGTGCTGGTGTCTAGCCTGTAATGTACCATGAGGATTCTGATCCACCCACAAATGTTGGTTGTGTAAATTTGTTATTCCAACTCTTTCAAATGTTGCCTCATCCATAAACAAGACTAAATAGATAATTGATCAGCAGTTTTTGCAATAAATCATCAGCAAAAGTTTTCCTATGGTGAGTGATCAGGAGGCAAAAGACCCTGCACACATTGCAAATAATACAGATACATGTGGTACTATGCTGATACCTGGATCATCTCCGACAGCCTGTCGAATGTGTTCTTTGTGGTCAGACATACAAGCAGGTCACGGCCTTCCTTGATCCACAGTTTGTGGTGCCATGGATCCTGTCTCAGCAGCAAAGGTTGGATGACACGGCTGTCTTCAGTCTAGAAATCTGATAGAGTCATACAGAATTATGTCCATCACTATTCACACAGCCATATGTAAAAATCCTATCTGCCTGCTCACAATATGAATATCCTGCCATTGTTAAATGGAACACTTCTTAGTTAACTCACTACTACACAGACTAGCCAGAATTGTACACAAATAACAAATGTAACCTAGTCTACATGGCAACACAGCACCATCTATTGTAAATTTTCTTTAATCTTAATAACTCAAAATCAAAGGATTTGCAGAGATATGTTTATATGGACTTTTGTCCTTGTTTTGGTTTGATGAATCCACTCCAAAGTTTGTAAAAGTATTTTTAATACATCCTATATATATATATATATATATATATATATATAGTCATTCACAGACAGACTGTTTCACTGTATCACAGTTCATCAATGTAGCTAGGGTATATTTAGGCAGCAAGTATTCATTTTAACAAACTTTTTTTAAAAAGAACCAACAAGGTTTGTCTATCAAAAATAATCCAAAAATTGGAATTTTTTTTTTTCTCTTCTGTCAAATTCATCCCATGCTAATTCTGGGGGTGGCTTCAAACTTTTGAACTGTAGTGTATACTGAGAGAGAGATTCAAATATAGAAATAGCCATGCCTTATAACTTTCAAGGGATATAAACATTTATGACAGTGCTTCAGATTAAAAGAAAAAAGATCTTACTCTGTGTCACAATTTGGATGACAAGGTTGACAAATTCTGTTTTCATCCGGATATTTCGCTGGAGGACATTTCTCCATACAGTTGGGTCCATGCTGAACACGAAGACAACTGTCACATTGATATTCATGCTGGGAAAAAAATACAATAATTTTTTTCAGTTTCCACATTTGACAACTTACAAGATGCATTTTTCCTTTCAAAAACATATCAGTCTTGTGGCTATATCATAGTGAAATGCCAGTTCTCGTACTATCATTGAAGTTAAGCAACTTCAACCCTGGTCAGTACCTAGATGGGTGATCACTTTGGAATACCAGGTGCTCTAAATTTGGGTGTGCAGGCGGTAAAATGGATAATCACATGGATATAATTGGATAACTGAGTTCCAAATCCAGTCAGGTTTGTTATATTCACTTACACAGAAATACACTTGGGAGAGGTATGAATAGACCTTGTCTCCCCCAACTATGGGTTAATTATTAGGACTCATATCAGTAAATTATTATTGTCTCCAAAGAATTGTTACAATCTAAAAATATTTTGTCTTTAAAGAAACAGACTTTGATTCTTCTCCCTCACTGGGCTTTCAGATAGCTTGGCAGCACCCATCACCAAAGATTACAGAATATGGTGTGGGTTGCCCTTGGTCCATACACTAGATTTTGAATTCAGAGTTGGCCGTCTCCTACGCCAGTTACCACCCAAGGGTACCAAGTCTGCCCTGCTATTTTACCCATAGCTGAGGAAGAAGAGATAGATTCATACCTTTTCCAAATGCTTAAATAAATCCAATAAATTTGACTGGAATTTGAACTCTGCTCTCTGATTCTACAATCCGAGTGACTATCCATTATTTCACTGTGTCTCCATATAATTGAATAAAATGTAACTGTACTTTATTTTTGAAGAATAAAATTCATAAACAAAAATGGAAATTATTTATGACTTAGCCAAACATACTCACCGGTCCTGTACAGTTATTTGCACATTGCACATGGCATTTCTTGCAGAGTTTATTGCCAGCGTTGTATAAACGGGGCATGCTTGCACAAGAAGCAACGCACAAATTCTTGTTTTCTACACGGTAATTGACACAATTCAGACATCGATCTGGGCCTTCACCCCAGCAGCCATTTTTACACTGAGGATGACAAACTTTGTTTTCTATAAAGAGAATGTTTAAACATACACACACACATATATATATATATATATAAATATTGCATCAATATAACCAACACTTTTAATGAAATTCTGCATTTAATATCATCAAGGCTGTAAGAAAATGAAAAGAAAGGTTACACCTCAACCATTCTTTCATGAAGGCTTACATGCCATTTATCTGAACTAAGTGCAGAGCTGACCTGTACTACCTCCAATCTCCCTGCATGCTGGTGGTAGGGGGACTATAATCCTAATTGTGGGCCCCGGGCAGTGCTTTGTAACCCTCACTATCTTATCAACATTTGCTTTTTTCTATCTATATTTATATGTTACAAATTAAGTTAAGCACAACTATTAAAGGATCAAACATTTTTATAGATTTTGACGTCATTCTGGGGTCTTTTTTGCACTCAAATCTGTGAATTTGTTTTACTCTTGCTAAATCCTGAAAAAAACACTATATAAAATTCACTATTTTTATTGATAATGTTGAATGTGTTAACAAGAAAAACTTCAGTAGATCTTAAAAATTGCTGAAAATCATTGTTGATTTATTTAAAATGGAATGATCTATTATGACAAACCTTTAATTTGTATTTAGATACATCATATTTATTTTCCGTCCTGGGTAAGACAATAAACTACATCTAACAACAAGGCCTCTGATCAGGAGGTTTTGAGGAGCATGGAACCACCTCTTAATTGCTGGTGTTCCCAGGTCCACCCTGACCCAGGGTGGCAGCACCTGTTAGGGTCCCAACTATTGTCAAATAATTAACCCCCAAATTGGGGTCAAAACATTATGAAAGTGTAAATATAGGTCTTAATACCAGAAATACTTGTAACAGAAAAAAATTATTACCATCAATACATTATCAGCAATACATTTTAGGCAAAAAAAAATTAACAGCAATACTTTTTTGAAATAAATATTATCAGAAATAGATTTTTTTTTAAGGAATAATATTACTAGCACTACATGTTTGAAGAAACAAATATTACCAGCAATAAAATTTTTGTTGGCATTAAATAACCTATTAAGGTTGATATGCCGTAAAACAAAACAAACCAAACCAAATTGTATTTATTTTAATTTTTTTTTGTTGAAATGTTCACCTATATTGTATTTGATCTATTATTGTATGTAATTAGGTTACAATAGAATGTGTATTTTTATATGAATACAAACTTATGAAAAATGATATGTAGTAGAGTAGTGGGGCCTCATATCATAGATGTGACCCTTCACCAGCCCTAATCAATATATAATGCATCAATACAAATAAAAATTTTAATAGAATTCTGCATTTAATAAAAAGTAAAAAGAAAGGTTACGCAACAAGCACTCTTTCACACAGGTTTACATTCCCTTTATTTTAAGAAAGTGCAAGTAAACAATGCATTAACATACACCACAAGAATTACAATAATATTAGACAGCTCCTTTTTAACAATACTAAATTACTCCATCAATCCCACTGCAAAAAAAAAAAAAAAAAATGAAAATGATTGCAAATGTTTACCATTCAATAAAAGCAACCATCCATTAATAAAGAATCAATAACTACATTAGAAGACCATGAATTCCCAAACACATATAAAAAAAAAATTATGCTATTATTACACATTGCGGCTACATACTATTAACATGACTTACTATTGCATTGGATTTGACTTTGAAACAAAAAATAGCAACACTTTTGAAAAGAATACACTGCTTAAAATAGATTGAATTTGCTTTTCTTCACTGAACTTTCTCACACTTCTGACTATGATCCATGGGAGTTAGAATCTTGGCTCTAATGTGAATCTGTTTATTTTAACAGGTACAACAGCCACGTTAATGAAAACGTTATTCACATATTACAAAAACGATCAAAAAATTCAACAGATATAAAATTTGAATAAGATATGTTTACAAATATAAAACGTAGCACAAGGAAAATAAATTACATGTGGTCACACTGCCTAACTTTTAGCAGTTATTGACCCAATTACACTGTATTACTTGAATTGCAAAAATGTCTTGCATCTGTCGACCAGAAGTTATCTCCCTTGTTATTAAATAACTAAAAGTTGTGTCCCTTTGAAATGAAGTATATTTCGTAAATATCAGATATTGCGGGTAATATCTGTTTTTCGTTGTTATTATTTTTTTTTCTTTCTTTTACAATTATGTTCACCCAGAACAAGGCGTAAGATTGTAGGAGCATCTTCTTGCTTGGTTGTTAATTTCACAAAATAGTTTGTGTAAAGAAGCTGTTTGAGAGGAATATATATATCTCAAAAAATTTACAATAAAAAGGGAATGAAGGTCGTTTGCTACAATGAGTATTAGCCATAAGGGTTAGAACTGGTGGAATTAAGGAATGTAGTTTGTCTGAACATGGAAATAGGGATAAAATAGAGAGAAGCTTGCAATGTTACATCTGTAGGAAAAGGGTTTTAGGGTGGAAAATAATTCACCACCAACAAGGACGCAGGGACGCCTTTGGGCTTTGAGTCCGAACAGACATTCAAATCAAGTTGCCTTATTGATTTCTTCTTTTTTTTTTATGATAAGGTTCATCATATACAAGGTCAGGGGGGACCACTTGAGGTAGAGGGTTATGTTAATGGGTAGTTTATATGGATAGGAGCGGAAGAAAATGGTTAAGTCTAGACTTGAACAGTTTATGATTGTAGTGATTCAGGAAACATCCTCTTAGGAGTCTATTCCACAGAGCAGTAGTTCACAAGAAGAAGCTGTTTAAGTGGAACTTAATTCTCACAGATGGAATACAGAGTGAATGTGGGTGGTTTGCTAATATGTAAGTGGTATGGTGTGTCCTAGCCATGAAAGTTAGACCTGATAGAACCAAGGAATATAGTTCATTCAAGCACTTTTCATGGCAGTAGCGACAGAGCAGTGAGACACATCGATACAGGTAAATGAAGACTGGGTAGCTCCTGCCCATATATAGCAGCAGTACTCCATTTTCAGCCTGATCTGGCTCTTGTAAAAGTAGATGATAGCAGGAGTCAGGTACTTACTGGAGTGGTATAGGGGACTGACCATTTTTTTCCAGCATCTTTATTTTTTATTCCTCTAAATGGAACATTATTTAAAATGTTTCTGTTTAATTTTTTCTCTTTGCTATTAATTACAAATCAGAGAACAACTCCTTGAAATGACAGAGAAATGCCAAGACCTGATCCCTTTTTCCAATGTGCCATGTTTCTTCAGGATGTTGGCAATCAGAGCTCTGCAATTTTCCATCCTTTGTAGCTCTTAATAACTTTTATCTTTTTTGCCACCCTCCCTCAAACACGGCTCTTCCATCCATTTGCAACAAGCTCCCCAGGTAAGTTGTGTTTTGCTTTCCTCAGGCCCTTTTATTTTCTCTCTGTCTTGTGACCTGGTTAGTAAATTTAAAAATGCAAGTTTTGGTTTGGTTTTGTTTGTTTTACAGCATATCAACCTCAATGGGTTATTTAATGCCGACAAGGTTTTTATTGCTGGTAATTTTTTTTTTCCAAACATGTATTGCTGGTAATAATTTTACTTCAAAAATTTATTGCCAGTAATAATTTTTTACAAAATATTACTGGTATCAAAACCTATTTTTACACTTTCATAGTGTTTTGACCTCAGTTTGGGGGTTAACTATTTACCCATAGCTGGGACCTTAACAGGTGCTAGCACCTTGGGTCAGGGTGAACCTGGGAACACCAGCAATTAACAGGTGGTTCCACACTCCTCAAAACTTCCTGATGAGAGGCCTCGCTGTTGGACGTAGTTTATTGTCTTACCCAGGATGTGGACGTAGTTTATTGTCTTACCCAGGATGTGGACGTAGTTTATTGTCTTACCCAGGATGTGGACGTAGTTTATTGTCTTACCCAGGATGGAAAAACTTAAGTATCCAAAATGTAATTTCTGTCTGAATTTCTGGAGTGAGGAGTTATCATTAATTACTTTCAGACTAATGTCCTCATCTTTGTTGTTGTTAAAATACTCTAAGACATAGGCAATGGAACAAGAACAATCTAGCCACCATATGTTAAATAAAGTATTTGGTTCAAAATTCCTTGTAGGTTACACTGATCAACATTCTAAAAGCTGAAAAGCACAATGGCTGAAATTTTGTGATGACAACAAAGACGAGAACAATAGCCTGCATGTAAGTAATTGTAATAATTTGATAATTATAATTTGATTGATTATATACTAGTTAAATTATTATACACATGCTGTTGAAAATGATGACAATTGTTAGAAATTTTAATACTGAAATGCAATGAGGCAAAAGTTTTAAAACAATATATTAAGATTCATTGAAGCAGGTATTTGGAATTAACAACTGAAAATAGTGACCAGTGAAACATTTAATAAATCCATACACTTTATAATTTTTAGATGGTCAATGGTATCTATGATTCATTGATTACTCTTACCATAACTTAAATCACATTTTGCTCAGTATCTTTTCATGTTAAAAATGGTATTTGTTTAATATAACAGTGACTTGAAATTGAAACTCCTCTCAAAAGAATAAGATTGGTAACAGAATGACAAAGATGGCAACAAGAAAGACCAACACAAGACGAAAACATAGTAGACAAAATTATCTGAGTGCCTCACAAGAAACTGCAGTCTAAAACACATGATAGAAAGGGAGTGAATTAATTAAAGATTTTATTTTGTTCAAGGGAACTAATTTTATCTAAATAAATAAAAGATAAATATTTTATTTCTATAGATTATTAAAATTACTAGGGGAAGTAACTACTCATAAATTTACTACCTTAAACTGATTTACTTCCCTTTCCACTATATCAGGTCACACGAAAGATGTAAATAGATAAATGTACATTGGTACTTATTACATAGTAGATCATTGACTTTAAATAATTAATATTAAATTGACACACTCATGCACACACAAAAATAATGAAAAGAAATTCGAAGTGAATACTTACCACAGCCTTTTACACCATTTCCTTTCTTTTGGTAAATTTGCTTTTTGCTTGTAAATAACTCAGTAAAATTCATGGAATCAACGTAGCATAATTTTTTGTTCTGATGTATCAAAACATTTCCATTTTTAATGCTCTTTAAAGATATCAATCCCAGGTTTTCCAGTTTTGTCTCAAGAATACGCAGAGACATGTCCCTGAAAGTCAATAGGAACAGAAACATTTTAAAAAAGAGAAAACACAAAAGAACACAAAGGAAACATGGCAGGGCGGCCCTAGCTGTGAACGTTCAAGCCAGTGACGCTTAGGAATATAAATCATTCAAACAATGGCTATATTAATAATTATGTAGTTGTGAGATGTTTCATCTGTGGGATAAGGTTTGTGGGTGGGGAATAATTCCTCACCCACAAAGTGCATAATTACTTTCAGACTCTTTTGAGGATGGATAGCATGGATTTGGCAGTACCAGCCCAAATATGACAACAATACTTGATTCTTGGTCTTGAAACAAATGAATGCTATAGGGTAACTCAAATGAACAAAATTGAATAGACAAAACTTTTTGTAAAACAACAGTTATTCTTGCACAAAATCACAAGTCCGCATGACTGAGTGTATAAATGTAATGACAATGTTCAACTGCTGATCATACCAAATTTCACCTTCTCTTTCAGAATCTGTGACTAATTTCCACTCTCTATACTTGTAGTACAGACCACAGGTTGACCCTGTAGGTGTTGATGTACCTATAATGGTATCAATATCAACCAAGATGAGAATAATAGTTTAAAAATAATACAAGAATACTGTTGAGTTGTATCTGTTTATATTTCTCAAGGAGAAATGGCCCAGCTGATAAAAGTGTTGGTTGAATCCAGTGACTTGTCCTAAAGAGTTGTGAGTTCAATACCTGGCTACAGTAGAGGGGAACAAAAACTTGGATAGTTGAGTTAAAAGGGAAATAACTGACACTAAGATATCTGGAAGAAGCATGGCACGTGGAACTAGAACAGTCTAACCTGTTGGATGAAATAAAAGATTTGGTTTATAATTCCAATCACCTGAAGAAGGCTGGAGTGTACAACAATCGAAATGCCAAGAATATAGCAACAAAAATGAGGACAACTGCATGAATAGTTAATAGTGTAAATACCGTTGTGTTTAAATTTTTGACCATTTCTGAAGTGTTTGTGATAACTTTTATATTGAGATTATCAAAATTTCTTTCATGATCATATATATTAAGCACTGTTGAATGACAAGCTAATTCTAAAAACAAAAGTCACCTGCGTAAATGCGAAGCTCTTCAGTAAAATGAATGGAGCACTATGGCTGCTTGGCAATTGTTTACATTTGCAAAAACAATACGCTAGATTTGGCTGACTCATTTGGTCAAGTGAAGATGGCTCAGTGGTAGAATCTCTGACTGACACCAAATCAGTTGGGTTTCGATACTGACCTGAGACATTCGATCGTCTAGTCGTACTGAGGAGGTGTGATACAGCGAAACAGTACTGTAAGCAAATTATATCTATCTATCTATCTATCTATATATATATATATATATATATATATTATGAAATGGACAAAGTCCGACAATTATTTTAAGACATTTTTATGTTTATACATTCTTTTTATACATAGAAATATTTAAGTAAATGCTCTGTTTATAATAAACAGTATTAAACAACATTTACTGACCTGAATGTCTGAGAAATTGTCACAGAAAATATTTGTCCTCCAACAGGATTCAAACCTGTATCCTATACAGAACTATCATTTAGCTTGACGTGCATTTAACCGATTTGGCCACAGAGGAGTGTTCAGTTAGCAAGGTCGAATTTACTGTAATTGAACTTCAATCTTCTGTGAATCTCTCACGTACATTCATATCTGCTCACGGCGTATCAAATGTAAAAAAAGGACCAAATCGGTTAAAGGCACGTCAAGCTAAATGGCAGTTCCATATAGGATACAGGTTTGAATCCTGTTGAGGACAAATATTTTCTGTGAAAATTTCTCGGACATTCAGGCCGGTAAAAGTTGTTTAATACTGATGATTATAAACAGAGCATTTACTTAAATATTTGTATCTATAAAAAGAATGTATAAACATAAAAATGTCTTAATATATATATATATATACATATATATATATATATATATATATATATATGAAAATTTCTCCGATTTAACCAGTAGAGAAGACGATATTTATGAATAAAAATGACAATAGGAAAACTGGTAATTGCTGACGCGTTTCGTTCAATGTGGACTTTATCAAAGCAAAATACGAAAATGAAATTAAATGAACAAAGTAACTAATAAAAACAAAAACAGAGTGTACCTAGCAACTGGAATGTAGAGAAACGCTATTTTCATATTTTTTAAACTGAAAAATAATGTCAGTGATTGTCACGTGTGGAGAATATTGTCATTATATCTGTGTTGATGTATTCAACCATTTTCTTTTGATTTTATGAATCTGTTGTGCATATTTGTTTGTAAGAGCATTAATTTTCGTATTTTGCTTTGATAAAGTCCACATTGGACGAAATGCATCAGCAATTACCAGTTTTCCTATTGTCATTTTTATTCATAAATATATATATATATATATATATATATGTGTGTAAATATAAATAGGATTCTACCTCACAGTCCTTTCAATTTCCTAATTATATTTCAGATTCCTTAGAATTTGTAGCCCAGATTACTGAGGAAAAGAAGAGAAACACACTGAAAACCATTTAAACTTCTTCCCTACACACATCATTTCATCATCAATGCTAGAAAACAAGCATACAAAATCCACAAGTCCCAAGGATTAGGCACCTCCAATAGCACTTCTAATGTCAACAATACAAAATTCATAATCCTACCATCTAACACTCTATCTACAATATATGAAAATAAATTATATATATATATATATATATATATATATATATATATATAATTATTTTTTATAAAAAAAAATTTATAACATAAATATGTTATAAAATCACTACAAAAATAGCCATTTTGTTTCAACACCTTCAGTGTCTTATCAAGTGATGATGTTGAAGATAAAATAAATGGTTTTAAAAGTTTCAAATTAATTAACAATCCTTTGCTAGGGGAAAACATTGTTACAAAAGCTAGGATGACCAATCAAAACCCAAGTATAGGAAGATTCAAAAGTTTGACAACGAAATCATGTTAAAAATCATTTAAAATACGGGTAATATTAAAAAGAATTTATTCTAACCAATAATTATTAAATTATATGATAAAATTTGATATTAAAATTAAAAACTGCCAATTTTAAAATCCAAATTTAATCACTATTAAGTTTAAAAACTATAAAATTACTGAGGAGAAAAGAAAAAATACATATGTTATTCAATTCATTTCTTCGTTGAAATTACGTTAGAACAGACGCTAACAATATCCAGTCATTTGACAATTCATGTATATATATTTTAATCCAAAGTGTGTGAAAGGGGTCTTAAACTCACGTGCAAAACAACAAAAACACAATAAAAAAAATAATTATATCTGCTCTACTTTGTATTGAGCACCTTTTAAGAATAGTAATTGTTGGTTATTGGAATTCATTCCATATACACCAATTATATACTTGGATGCTTATATATATATATATATAAATATATATATATATATATATATATATATATATATATATATATATATATATATATATAAATAAAAATATTGAAAATTGAGAGGTGTACAAATATTTTGTTGTTGACTTTACACACACACACACATAATATATATATATATATAAATATATATATATATATATATATATATATATATATATATATATATATAAAAGAACAAATTAATCCTCAGAATTGAAAGGATTAAAATTAAAATATAGGTAGATGTCTAAATTATTTAACCAAACAAATATATATATATATGTTTGGTTAAATAATATATACTTCTAAATATATATATATATATATATATATACATAGATAGATAGATAGATAGATAGATAGATAGAAGTTTATACATTATTTTTAATAAATAAAATTTATTTAAGTAAATGCTCTGTTTTTTAAATAAACAGTATTAATTACATTTAGCAGCCTGAATGTCCAAGAAAATTCATAGAAAATATATATTCTCCAACAGGAATTAAACCTGTATCCTACATAGAACCGTCAGTTGATCTGACGTGCTATACTACTCAGCTACAGTAAAAAAAAATCTGTTTAGGAAAGACCAAATTACTGTTTATAAAAAAATATATTTGGTGATGTGTCAGAGAACAAATATTTTCTATGAAATTTCTCAAATATTCAGACTTGTAAATGTAATTAATAATGTTCATTTTAAAACAGAACATTTACTTAAATAAATTGTATCTATTAATAATAATGTATAAACATAAAATATATTAAATAATTTTTGGACTTAATCCATTTCATATTATATTGTCAATGTTTATGTTACGGTACATTTCAGGAGCAGATATGATGGTTCCTTTTAGGTTTTAAATTCTGTTTCATTGAATTCATTTGTGTTTTGGAGATATCTACACTTTGAATTTTACGTTTTCATATAAGCAAAGTGGATGCTGAGCATACCTTGGACCAAACATGTGAGCAACGATAAAGTTTTAGGAAAATGGAAACAAAAAAGAAACTTATACTGAACATCAGGAAAGAGATAGATGAAATTTCTAGGGCACACAATGAAGCAAGAGGGCTTGGAGAATCTGATACTCAAAGAACAGATTGAAGTCAATGGGGACAGAAGAAAACAATGCATGATCTACCTAGATAGCTTGAGTGAATTGATGGTGGAGCAAGATTTAAGAGAGATAACAAAATTTATTAAGAGCTACAAATGATAGGAATTCATGTAGAAGAATGATTGCCTATAACCTGTAGAGACACAACACATAGAAGAAGAAGAAGAAGAAGAAGAAGAAGAAGAAGAAGAAGAAGAAGAAGAATGTTTTACTTACGAATCTATGTTGCGTCCTCCAATCACCTTTAAATTTTTAAGGAAGGAAAGGTCTTTCAGTTCTGGCGGGCTAGCCTGCACTGTCAAATATCCTGTGATCTCTTGCACTCCCTGAAGCCAATCTAGATTTTTGATATCCAGGCCAGTGACATTGTTATACTCATCACTAAAATAGGAACAAATAAAAGGTTGTGGTCATTATTGAAATGCAATATTTTTACTTGATCTAAATATACATGGGATCTGGAGTGACTTTGAGTCTAAAAAAACATTAAAAATAATAAAGCCTCATTGAGAGTACACCTGTTCATTATGATTGTGGAAAACATCTCTACCTTGGTTTTGGAAGAATTGAATGTTAAAAGCTGGTTCACAATTTAAAGATTCAAATGTTACGTACCCAGTGAAAGTCACACCCAAAAGGGCTAAGTTACCCTCAATGACTGTACAGTCACGGAAATTCTCGATATTTTTTGAATCAAGCCATAGCCCTTTGGTTCCCTCACATGCTGAAAAAAATATATAAATATTATTAAACAATATAAGTAAATAGTGATAAGTAATGTTAGTAAAGAGAAAAATTCAATCAAGAAATATCCTTGCAAATTCTACCATGAAGTCAAAGAAAATGAAAGAATAATATTTGGGAGTTGATCTCATTTAGAAATTATGTCGTTTATTTATGATAATGAAGACTTTTTTCCCCATAAATTCATCACTGAAGTCTTCATTCAGATAACAATATTGCTTAATATTTTGTTATTTTTCAAGGAATATTTAAAAAAAACAAGTAAAAAAAATAATAAAAAAACAAATCCATTGAAATATTTGTCTTAGAAAAAGTAATTTTCCTCTGTTTCATCCATTATGCCTTTTGGTTTCTTTAGGAATTTGTCAAGTTTGGTAATCTTCAGGGAATTTAAAACTGAACCCTTGTTTCACTATGTCAAGGAATATCTCATTTAGTTCTTATTTTTATTACTGCTCAGTTATTTCTCACCTAGTTTCCACTAAGAATAAGTGCATACTGTCTGGCACAGGGATTGAACTTCCAATTACTATATCACCAAACTTTTTAGGCTTCAATAGATGAATGGATTATATCATAGGGTGTATAATTGGTTGGTTAGAACATTCGTTTTTTACCATGAGATACTGGTTCAAATTTCACAATGGTCAATTTATTAGGATAGTGACTTCTGCAGAGGCAATCCCAGTATGTGGCATTGTCCTCATTCCACTGCCCATGTCTAAGGATATCTCATCTGTTTCTTAATTTTGTCACAATCATGAGACCTGTAACCTATTACGATTGTATGGACACCACATATATTGCAACCGCAGTGGTGTTTCTGGGGAAAGATAGCTTGATGGAGCCCAAACCTGTGTAGGCTTGTTTTGAATTCAAAGTCTTTCCTTCTCCTAAGCCGGTTGTCACCGAAGATCATAAGACTCAATTTATCCTGCTATTTTAATCATAGTTGATCTTAGTACTACTCAATTATTTCTCAATCCATTTCCAATGATTTTACATATCAAGCCCAGGGATTGAACTTAGTTCTTATTTAGTACTGCTTCTAGCAATATAGTAATTGTGAGTACAATTCCTGGTTCAGGCAGTAAGAATTAGACTCAGTGGAAACAGGGAGAGGAATAATTGAGCCATAATAAATAAGGACCAATCAAGATGTCCTGAAACATGGTCAGTGAACAATTTATCTCCCTAGATTAAATAAATGTTTCTGTTTGAGATTCTGTGAATGTTACACAGATCAACAGACATCTAAAGGCTGGTGAAGACAACTGCTAAAATTCTGTGATAAATGCAATGAAGATGATGACACTAGTCTAAATTTAAATAATGTAAATAATGATCACAGCTGTTTAGTTTTTTGTTTATGTATAGCTTCAGTAACTTGGTTGACCCTCAAGGTTAAGCATTAATGAGTGTAATAAGATATACTCACTTTTAGGGCATGGACCATTGCATGGAACACATTCGTTGTCCTGTGCTCTGTGATGTTCTTTGCATGCTTTTACACAGGCATCATTGTCCTTCAGCATATGGGCTGTAATCAAAACAGAAAGATGAAAGTGAGACTAAAGATATTAACAGTGTACAGTATGAGAGTGAAGCTATATTGGTAAAAAAAATCCTTACGTCAAAACCAAGTAGCAATCATGAGAATTATATTAGAGAAGACCACTCTGAGAAAAAGAATCTATACAAAAAATATCACTGTAGGGTTTTGGCTAGAACTCTCCAGCTAGCGAGCAACTAAGGTGAGGTGAATTAATGCCCTTAAAACAATATGGAAAACTGAAATGAATTGGTACTCTTGATACAGTTAGAGTCAGTTCAATCCTGGGAAGATTTCGTACACGCATTGCGATTGGCGTCTTCACTCACACCATAGGAATGAAGATATATACTGGTAGTTGACAACCTCACCTTGCTTTAACTCAAAGGTAATAAACTTACTGAGTGTAAACCTCATCTATCGTAAGTACCATGTTTATATTTATGTTATGTTGTTGCTTTACATTGTTGCATGTTAACATTAAATTCAATTCAGACCCATTGGTATTTCTTGGCAGTAATCATATACTGCAATATCTTTACTTAATTCTTAAAAAAAATTAATAAAGAAGAAAGCAAAATGAATTTTCTTGATATTTTGGATAAAATTTTAAAATGACTGATATTGTTTTTTATTTACATCAATGTTAACACAATATTTTCATATATATTATAGGGTTTTAAGTAGAACTCCCCACCTCATGAGCAGATAAGTCAAGGTAAGTAAATGCCCTTGAAATAGTAAGGACAATTGAGATGAATTGGGGCCCTTGACACAATTAGAATCAGTCCAGTCCTGAGAAGGGGTTGTACATGCATCACGATTGACATCTCGACTCACACCATGGGGATCAAAGAGATATACTGGTAGCTGGCAACAACCTCACCTTGCCTTAACTCAAAGGTAATAAACTTACCGAGTGTAAACTTGATCTATCATAAGTACCATGTTTATATTTATGTCATGTATTGTTGCGGTACATTGTTGCATGTAATAAAAAATGGTATGAAGTATCTTGGCATCCTTCTTTTCATTTTCCCTTTATATCGTATTTATTCCTGTTTGGATGTTCCAACTTTGCACAAGGCTTGACCATAAATACAATGCTTATACTTACTTACCTTAACTTCTGAACCAAGTAAAAGAAAACAAACCTACCGAAGAGACACTGAAAACTTTGTTTCACTACAATCACTATAAAAAGAATAACCGTCCCTAGGAAAAGTTTTTGCAAAATTTTTGGCAAAGGAGATGTGGTTTTACAGAAGGATACTGAGATGTGATAGCTTGACTATATAAGCAACAAGGAAATTCTCTGGAAACATGATAAGGAAAGAAGGTTTTGAAAATTTAACACTCACAGGATTTATTGAGGGAGGGAAGGAAGGGTAGAGAGAAACTGATGCCCCTATCGAGGCTCTGTGAATGAAGTGAGGGTAAAGTGTGATGGTAAAGAGTCAACTATATGTTAGAACTATAAAAGAGAGGAAGCTACAGAGATCCATGATTGCCCACACATCTTGAAGGAACACAGCATATGATAGAAGAAGATGTTACATACAAAAGTGTACTTACGGGGACATTCTTTTACACACAATGTTCCATATGTGTATTTGTAGTTAGGATTTTTTTCCCAAGCGTAAGTCTTGTCATTGTAAATCATAGAAGGTGGGCAGAAAGCTACACATTCGCCTTCATTGCTAAATTTACGGCAAGCCTAAAATGAAAAATAAAAAGAATATTCATGTATGGAACATATTTTTAAATATGCATCACCTACAGGGAATTTTGGACTGAATCCTTCTATTTAATATCTGGAGTTAGATTGTTCTCGTTCCACTGCCCATGTCTAAGGATATCTCAAGTTCTTACCTTAGTCCTGATCATGAGACCTGTAAGGTATTAGGGTTGCAGTGTCACCACATATACTGCAGCTGCACAAGCATCTGCACAATACCCAGCCCATGGATTGAAATCACAATTACTATGTTACCAAATTCCCAACCCAATACTTTAATTTACAGGGTTGTTGCTGAGCAATAACTAATCCATATAAAAAAAAGTATTACATGAGATATCCCAGTACATGGCAGTTGAACAAGAAAAAATCTACCAGTGTAGATTAGATAAATGATGTATCTGTCTATATTTCTGAGATGAAGTATTATGTACACTATTTACATTATTCGGACTATTGTCCTCATCTTTGTCGCCTTATTTATTATAACGTTTCGGCCTTTCAGTATCTGTCTATATTTCTGAGATGAGGTATTATGTACACTATTTACATTATTCGGACTATTGTCCTCATCTTTGTTGCCTTATTTATTACAACGTTTCGGCCTTTCAGTATCTGTCTATATTTCTGAGATGAAGTATTATGTACACTATTTACATTATTCAGACTACTGTCCTCATCTTTGTCACCATATTTATTATTACAACATTTCTGCACATGACACATGGCACAGTGGATAGAGTCTCAAAGAGTGTGAGTACAATACCCGGTTAAGGCAGTGGAGAACTTTCAGAGAGGAATTAACAGGAGATAACTGATAACTGACATCCATTAGACATGGCACGTAGAACTAGAACAGTCTACCCCAGTGAGCAAAATAAAAGGTTCAGTTCAACATTCCAACCACCTGAAGATGGCAAGAGCCTACAAAGGCCGAAATGTTGTAATAATAAATATGGCGACAAAGATGAGGACAATAATCCAAATAATGTAAATAGTGTACATAAATGGTGTAGTTTGGAATTTCCTGTAGGTTAACTGGATTGGCATACATCTGATGAAGGTGATAGGACACAATGGTCAAAATATTGTGATAGAAACAACAAAGATGAGGAAAATAGTCTGCAAGTAAATAATATAAATAATGATAATTCTTCATCCCTTAAATTTTTAAATTTAATTTAAAATTTTTTTTTTTAAAAATGAAATTGCCAAGATTATAAACCAATCTAAAATAAATAAATATATAAACACACCTAAAGAAACAGATAAAAAAATTCAAAAAATGTTTAAAAATTTCAGCATTTCCTTCATGTGTATCAATGGAAACATCACTTTAGTCAGATGATGTCCTAAAGGACAAAACACATCACACAAAAATAAATTATTTTCCAATTTGTCATTAATTTTCCTAACAGTGTTCTGGTATATAAAAATTTATATCTTCTCCCATATACTCCCAATATATATATATATATTAACCCATTACCTGCCATGAGCCCCATTTGGGGATCTGTTAAAATTAAACTCACTACATGTTATTCCTTGTATTTACATTGAATTGCTTTTACATACATTGCATTTGCAGAGGTATGTTTTACAACACTTAGACTTTAAAGTTTTTATTATTAGCAGTGTAAGAAGACAATTTCTGTCATAATTTTACATTTCATGAGTAGAAAAATAATGACTATTTTGAAAAGTATTTTTTTATTACTTCTAATCAATATTATTTTTTGATGTTTTATACACATATATATTTGATGTTCTAGTTTCTATAAAAACGACAATGGTAACTACTGAAATTAAACATAAGGAATAAATAAACTCCTAAGACACCTGTCTGGGCCAAAATTTGCGCATTAAAATTTTTTGCAATTAATAGGTTACGGAGGCATGGTGGAGTAGTGGATAGCAGCTCGGTTTGAGGGAATCAGAGAGCCGAGTTCAAACTCCAGTCGGATCCATTACATTCACTTTTGTGCTAATAACCTTGGTAAGGTATTAATCCTCCTTTTTTTTACCTCCAGCTATGAGTAAATAGCAGGACAGACTGGGATCAATAGCCTTGGATGGCAACTGGTCTAGGAGAAGAACAACTCTGAATTCAAAACCTACGGAGGGTTGTTTGAGGACCTTGTGGTATTTAATACACCAGGTCTCTGTATTTAACACTTCAAAAAGTGTGCTCAGTTCTGGACAAAGCCTTCACCACTTTAATCAAATCATACATGCTGGTTGTTGGTTCCAAGCAACTGAGCCGCTTGACCCTCATATGTTGAATACGATGGGAGACTCCACCATAGATATATATATATATATATATATATATATATATATATATATATATATATATATATATATATATAATTTATATAAAATATAAGTATAATCTATAGATATAAAAATTATATATATAATTATAAATTATATAAAATTTATATAAAATATAAATATAATCTATAGATATAAAATTCTATAGAATTTTAATACATCTATAAAATCTTTTTATAAATATATAAAATTTATAAATATATAAATATTCAAAGTTATATATATACATATATATATATATATATTTATATATCTTTATGTGAAGTAATATGAATAATATCATAATATTGATATAAATTTTTATATACCAGAATTTTTATATATATATATATATATATATATATATATATATATAATTCTATGATATAAATTTTTATACACAGAATTTTATATATATATATATATATATATATATATATATATAATTCTATGATATAAATTTTTATATACCAATTTTATATATATATATATATATATATATATATATATATATATATATATATAATTCTATGATATAAATTTTTATATACCAGATTTTTATATATATATATATATATATATATAATTCTATGATATAAATTTTATATACCAGAATTTTATATATATATATATATATATATATATATATAATTCTATGATATAAATTTTTATATACAGAATTTTTATATATATTTATATATATATATATATATATAATTCTATGATATAAATTTTATATACCAGAATTTTATATATATAGATATATATATATATATAATTCTATGATATAAATTTTTTATATACCAGAATTTTATATATATATATATATATATATATATATATATAATTCTATGATATAAATTTTTATATACCAGAATTTTATATATATATATATATATATAATTCTATGATATAAATTTTTATATACCAGAATTTTTATATATATATATATATATATATATATATATATATATATATAATTCTATGATATAAATTTTTATATACCAATTTTTTATATATATATATATATATATATATATATATATATATAATTCTATGATATAAATTTTTTTTATACACCAGAACACACACACACACACACACACACACACACACACACACACACACACACACATATGTAAAATATATAAATATATAAATTCTGGTATATAAAAATTTATATCATTATTATGATATTAATCATATTACTTCAAATATAGATATGTAAATTTATTTATATACACATAACAAAATTTATATTACAAATACATTGTAATCAATTATCTTAAAAATGATCATAATATGTGCCAGTATCGGTGTGTCTGTTAGATTCTATATATCAATTGTTTAGCCTGCTTACCAAACAGTCAGTCTTCTTTGGCCCTGTGCAACCTCCTGCACACTGGACATGACAGCATTGATTAGGAAGATGGCCAAAACAACGGTTGTCGCAGGATTCACTGCAGACTGCACCTCGGCTTACTGTAAAAAAAAGAAAAAATATACATTAAAAATATTTGTTTTGTGGCATGCTACTCTGACTCGCAATTCTATCTGCCTAGCCTCAGATGCTTTATCTGTCTACGGATGTATGGTTGTTCACATATATCTGAGTAGACTCTCCATTAATCTATTAGACAGTATATTTATTTATTTTCTTCTGTCAGTGCAACTTTTTCTTTAATAAGAAGTAATATGAAAAAAAAAAATAATATTAAGTTTCAAAATTTTTAATTAAAGAAAAATATTCTATAAAATATTCTAAAAACTTACTGTGTAAAGGGCTGCTGCTAAGAAAGTTGGTTCCCCTGTATCATTTCACCCCAAGCAAGGCAAGAGTGCCACTAGTATGCAAGGTGTTACAGAGAGTGAAATTAAGGCCAAAGACCAGACACAAAAGGGGATTGAGGAAAGAAGAATGGAGATCAAGGCATCAAAAGATGATGACTGATGTTACATTTAAATTTTTGAAGATTGTAGATATCAGGAAAGGAAGTAAGAGGAAAGGAGTTCCACTGTCAGGAAGTACAAGAGAAGAAGCTGTTGGTGCAGAAGAGGCAGTTACATTTATCTGTTTCAACAGTAAAAGGGTGGGACCTAGATGCCAACTTAATAGCATGCTTAAATTCATGTAGTCAAGGCACCAGGGAAAATAGCTTGTCAGAGCAGAGTTGCCATGAAAATATTTGTAGAAAAGACGCAGGGAAGCCATATCACATCTGTGGGAAAGTGGAGTTGAGATGCCAAGTCAGGACCGATCCCATTGTAGATCCATCTTTTAGATAATCTTTCTAGCCAGAATCTATCTTACAAATTTATAAGTCTACCATTCATCCATGCTTTGAATATTGCTACCACAAATGGTCAGGTGTTTCTATTATATATTTAGTGATTCTTGATAAAATCCTAAAGAGAATGTGCAATTTTATTGGCTCCGACCTGGCATCCCAGTTTCAAACATATTCCCAATGTAACAATAACATTACTTCCTTGTGCCTTTTCTACAAATATTTTCATGGTAATTGTTCTGCTGAACTTTCTTCTTTGGTACTGCAACTTACTTGAAGTGCAGTACTAGATTGGCAGTTAAATCTCAATATTTATATGCTAACAGTTTGCACTTCTCACTTGTGGAACTCTCTTCTTGTTTCTTGCTTTTCAGTCTTCCAACTTTGATTTTCAAAAATTTAGATGCAATGTCAATCATCCTAATCTGTTTTAGTTCCCCTTTTTTTTTGTTTTATTGTTCTCTCCCCATATTAAGTAATTTTTTTCTTTATCTCCTATACTTTCACACTCAGTAACCCTTGCATCTTAGTGAATTTATTGCCTTGCTTAGCATGGTATTCATCTCTTGCTCATAACTCAAGAAAATCAGGATACAAAGAAAAAAATAACAATAATCTTGTTTAGAAATGTATTTTGTTTAGAAATGACTTGTTACCAACATGTTTTATAAAAAAATAATGATAATAATTTACAAGAGTATATAGATTATTTTAAAAACCTTAAATAAATAACCTTCATATGTTTTCAACATTGTTTCATCTGCAGGGGAGGTGATGACATTAGTATTTAGGATGCAAAAGGCATTGTGTTCATTGACTATGTTCAGAAGGGCCACACCATCAATGGAGAGTACTATACCAACTTGCTGAGGCACTTATGAATAAATCAGCAATATTATTAATCCTGACATGGCATCTCAGCTTCAGTCACATTCACACTGCTGTAATGTAACTCCCTTTTCTATAAATACTTTCATGGTAATTGTCTGGATGAACTCTTCACTGATACCTAGATTTGATAAATTTAAGCGCAGTACTAGATTGGCAGCAAGATCTCATAAATTCACAGTTAAATTGGCTAGAAGTTGATTCACTGTGTTGTGCTAGACAATTTTTCTTTCCAGAATCTATCTTTGTTAGAATTCTATGCCCACAGGGTTTAAACCATACTCACTCAGTTCAGATTGTCAGAGTTCTTACCAGTATGGTAGGGTCTATAATTATGAGCATCATATGCATTCTGTAACATCTGGAATTTGTCATATTGCAGTTTAGGCATCAATTTAGGCTTCCTTAAGTTATCTAGTTTAACTCTTAATTTAGATGTAAGAATTCCTGCAGTCACCTCTTGAGTATGTTTAGAGTACCAAACATGCATTTCTAATTTCCTTTTCTTGATAGTTAAGTTGTCAATTTGGTTTTTGATGTTTTCTTTTTTATGTCAAAATGTTCTTCAAGTCAGGTTTACTTTATGAGCTGATCATTTGTTGTACAACAACAAACATATTAATTTTATTTAGAATTACTCACCAAGAAAATAATTACATGTGACTGCTATATTCCCTGTCATTCATGACATCCAGTGCATCTAATGAACTAAAACCAGTACCTGTCTATATTTCTGAGATGAGGTATTATGTACACTATTTACATTTTCGTACTATTGTCCTCATCTTTGTCAACATATTTATTAGAACGTTTCGGCCGTTGTACACTCCGGCCTTCTTCAGGTGGTTGGAATGTTGAACTGAACCCTTTATTTCACTCACTGAGGTAGACTGATCTAGTTCCACGTGCCATGTTTAATGGATGTCAGTTATCAGTTATCTCCTGTTAATTCCCCTTTCCAAGTCCTCCACCGGGTATTGAACTCACACTCTTTGGGTCCTGTCACTGGATCTAACCAATGCCTTTATCCACTGTGCCATGTGTCCTTGAGGACAATAGTCAGAATAATGTAAATAATGAACTAAAATCAATTGATATTATCTTACGTTTTTGACACATATCAGGTCCAGACCCCCAACAATTGCGTCTTTTGGTAGTGTTGTGGTAGCAGCTCTCATCACATTGTTTACCTAAACAGGAATAAAAGAATAAATAAAATATTCAAATGAAGTACAAGATTGATTTTACATTATTAATGTATTGTCAGTTTGCATCAAACATCCACTTTTTGTTCTTACACTGACAAATAATAAATAACATACAGTTTTCAATTTTGGTTTGGCTGTTTGCAAATTCATCTATTCAAATAAAAGGCCTATAAAATACTCCAAAACAAAAAAAAAAACAGCCCCTTCTGAGAAATCCAATGAATAAAAAAATATATTTTCCTGCCTACTAATTCTATCACATCTAAAATCAAAAAGAATCTATCTAAACTCAACATAAAAGTCATAACTACTATGTCCAAAACAATAAAAGATTTAGTCAATACCGAACAAAACAATAAGCTAAACCCTGAAAGAGGAGTTTACTCCATTGCCTGTAATAATTGTCACAAAAATACATAGGAGAAACCTCAAAGAATCTAAATAAAAGATTATATGAACACAAAAGGGACATTTAACAAAATAATACGTCAAATGTGTTGGCTGCCCACCATAATGAGACTGACCACAATTCTGACATATTAAATGCTGCTCTGATCAAAGGAAAAAATAATTCACTATGACGTAAATGTCTAGAGAGTGCCTTAATCGTAAGGTCGTCTACAGTAAATTTTTGCCCTGGCTCTTGCAACATTTCACCTTTCCTGAAAGATCTTTTAATATCACAGTGTTGTATACTTATTTACAAAAATGATGGAAAGAAAAAGAAAAAGACTAAATGAATTCAGCTGATAAAAAAAAAAATTCTAAAATTCCCAGCACACCTGTGTCATTTGCATGTGTATTCCTACCAACATAATAAATTTAGTCTAATGAAGTCCTGAAAGACGAAATGCATCACAAATAAAATTTTCCACTTTGTCATACAATTTCTCCAATACTGTTCTTGATATGAAAAAAATATATATCATTATCTCAAATTTATCTATCCAAATCCAAAGCTTTCTGTCCTGGGGAAGACGATAAACTACATCCAACAGCAAATCTTCTGATCAGGAGATTTTGAGGAGTGTGGAACCACCTCTTATTTCCTGGTGTTTCCAGGTCAATCCTGACCTGGGGTGGTAGCACCTGTTAGGATTCCAGCTATGGGTAATTCCCCCCCACCACTAAAAAACAGTATGAAAGTGTAAAAATAGGTTTTAATACCAGGAATAAATTTTTTGTTAAAAAATTATTACTAGCAATACATTTTTGAAGAAAAAAATCTCATCAGTAATACATTTTTGGAAAAAATATTACCAGCATTAAAAATTTTGTCCGCATTAAATAACTCATTGACGTTGTTATGCCATAAAACAAAACAAACCAAAACAAAGCTTTCTTTCTCCTATTTGGGGAAACATTCTCTGATTCACCATGAACATCATAACTGTATATACTCTGCACACTTAGCCAATTGGGTGTTGGTGTAGCTATTTAACCCATAGTTGGGGGTGTATGTTTGTTGACTGTCTACCAGTATTCATTACTGTCAGCCACAACCATAACAACATAAGATATGCAAATGAAACAGTGTTGATAGCAGACAGAGAAAGGAAACTACAAGAGCTCCTATAGAATGTAGTAAAGGAAAGCATGAAGAAAGGACTAAGTGTCAAATGCAAGAAGATAGAAAATCGAAGATATCAAAATCAAACAAGTATAACAAATATCTAGGAAGTGTTTTAAGGAAGGATGGAAAATACAGCACTGAAATCAGAAGTCGCATTGAGACAGCGAAAGATGAATTCCAAAAGCAAAGCAAAATATTAACGAAAAAAAAGGAAAAATTCTTTAGAAACAAATAAAAGAGTATTGAACTATTATATGACATCAGTCCTCCTATATGACTGTGAATGCTGGACACAGATGAAGAAGAGATTTGCAACAGAAATATGTCTCTACAGAAGGATGCTGAGAATATCATGGATGAAAACATGTGAGCAATGATAAAGTTTTAGAGAGAATGGAAACAAAAAGGACACATACATAGAATCAAAAAGGGAAATTTCTAGGGCACATAACGAGGAAAGAGGGCTTGGAAAATTCAATACTCACAGGACAACTTGAAGGCAAAAAGGACAGAGGAAAACAACACATAACTTACCTAGCAAACTTGAACAAATGGATGGTAGAACAGAATTTAGGTGAAATAACAAAACAAGAAAATTTATTAAGAGCTACAAATTTCAGCGACCCATGATCACCAACATCTTGAAGGAACATGACTCATAGATAAGAAGTAAAAGAATTAAATGCTAAAGGCCAGAAAATCTATTCTAGACACATGGAGATAAAATCTTAATTTCTAAGGAAAAGTAAAAATTTAGTAATTCATCTGGTTGTTCTTTGAAAAGTTAGAAATGAAAGAAAAGCTAATTTGGACATTATAGTGCTCTTGGGAACCATAATTGATTCTCCCAGGCAAATAAACAAATAAGATAATAACGATTCAACAACGACAATAATGAAATATATATATATATATATATATATATATATATATAGGTGACTTTTCATTGTAATCTTTTGACTTTCTTTCTCCTGGCAATGATTCGAGTTGAAACTGTGGGTATAAATTACAATTCTGGAAAACAGCATAATCTCCAATACATGCTTGAAATGTGTATCTATAGAGCTATCTAGATACTAATTTAGATCATCATAACCAGTCCCCTGACTGGGTATGGTTGTAAGGTCACTGCAACTGAACACCTGACTAGTTTACTCCACATATCTATTTACATTATTTACATTGTTCAGACAGTTGTCCTTATCTTTATTACCATGAAGTTTCGGCTCTTGTATGCGCCAGCCTTCTTCAGATGATTGGAATTTCAAACTGAACCCTTTATTTTATCCACCGGGGTAGATTCTCTAGCTCCACATGCCATGCCTCTTCCGGATGTCTCAGTTATCTCCCTTTAACTCAAATCTCCACATTTTTGTTCATCACTGCAGTCACCAGACCAATGGCAACTTACAACTCTTTGAATTAAATCACTGGATCCAACCAACACTTTTATCCACTGGGCAATGTGTCCTTGAAGACACATAGCCCAGAGCAACCAGATGAATTACCGAATTTTTACTTTTCTAATTATATCTCCACATATGGGGCCTGGAAACTGGGAGGGAGTATTCATTCATGCATAGCATGTCCTGAATAAGTAGACCAGGAGGAGCCCATCCCTCTCCAGGTCAAACCACTGCCGATGCCCTCCCACTTGAAGGCTCATCTTGGTCATTATTACAGTACAATAAGAACATTTTATTCTCATAGATGGAATAAAGTGTTCAAAATCATCTAGAAGTTACCTGGGACCACAAATATTTGAAAAAGGCAAGCAAGTTTAATGATCAAAAAACATTGTGATCAAAACAACATTAGTGATAGGATAAAGAACAAATAGGAAGTGCACTTGCATATTTAGAAATTCACCTATCTTGGAAGTGTTTAACAAATGACAGAAAATGTGACTTAAAACTGAAGGTGTATTTTGATAGAGAAAGATGCCTTCCAGAAACTAAATAAACATTAAGAAATGGAAAAATTTCATTGATCAATATCTGTCTGTATTTCTGAGATCAGGTATTATGTACACTATTTACATTATTCGGACTATTGGCCTAATCTTTGTCGTCATATTTGGCCTTCTTCAGGTGGTTGGAATGTTGAACTGAACCCTTTATTTCGATCACTGGGGTAGACTATTCTAGTTCCACATGCCATATCTAATGGATGTCACTTAAAAGTTATCTGTTAATTCCCCTCTCCAAGTTCTCCACCACCTTAACTAGGTATTGAACTCACACTCTTTGGGTCCTGTCACTGGATCTAACTAACGCCTTTATCCACTGTGCCATGTGTCCTTGAGTTTAGTTAGATCCAGTGACAGGACCCAAAGAGTGTGAGTTCAATACCTGGTTAAGGCGGTGGAGAACCTGGAGAGGGAAATTAACAGGAGATAACTGATAACTGACATCCATTAGACATAGCATGTGGAACTAGAACAGTCTACCCCAGTGAGCAAAACAAAAAGCGTTCCGGTCAACATTCCAATTATCTAAAGGAGGCCGGAGTGTACAACAGCCAAAATGTTATAATAAATATGGCTACAAAGATGAGGACGATAGTCCAGATAATGTAAATAGTGTTCATTGATCAACTCTTACATAACGTCAATTCAACTATATGGGTGTGAAGCTTGACAATTTCCTCAGATAGGAAGAGTATGAGTATATGTGTATGCATGTTTAGCAGCACATCAACTCCTTGTGGGTCATTTAATGTTGAAATTTAATTTTCTTAGAAGTATTAGTAATTTCTTTTACAAAAATGTATTGCTGGTATTTTTACTACAAACATTTTTATACTTTCATATTGTTTTGCCCTAGTTTGCGGGTGAACTATTTACCTATATCTTAGACCCTAAGTAGTGCTACCATCCTGAGTCAAGTGGACCGGGGAACAACGGCAATTATGAGATAGCAATAGAGCAGCAAGAAGCTCTTGTTGTATTGCCTAGTGCTTTTATTTTTAATAATAATGTTCACCCTGTACAAGTCACTCAAAGTAGAGAATTACAGAGCAGAATTTATATGGATATGTGAGGAAGATAACAGTTAACCTCAGATACGAACAAGTTAAAATTGTAGTGATCGTGGAAGCATCCTCTTGGGAGTCGGTTCCTCAAAGAAGCAGTTCATGGGATGAAGCTGCTCAAGTGGAATTTACATTTTACCAATGGAATATGAAATGAATGTCGCATGACTGGTATTAACCATCAAGGTTATAACTGGTGGAAATAGGTACAGGAATCCCTCAATTAGTCCAGCTAATATGTACATCTGTAACCATAATTACTATGGTTAACTTGAAGAATGCTTTACCACACTAATCAAGTATTATTAATGCACTAATCAAATTTTGGTATATAAAAATTTTAACGCACTAATTTAAAATGCATTAATTGAAAGTG